AAAGTTTGTATCGACAGATTAACAGACTCATATTGATACAAGTTTAAAGCAAAGTTTTTCTTAAAATAAATCTTATAAATAGGATATAAAGGTTTTTCTTTTCCTGCTATTATTGAGAATCTTATCTAATCTTACAGAAATCGAATATTCCTATATGCTTTGTATTATTGAATATACGATGTCTATTAATATTCGCAACCTATTACTTTTAGATACAGCAGTTCTTATCTGTATGGATATTGCAAATACAACATATTTATGTACAAATGCACACGCATAGGAAACGTACTGAACATATTAAAAGCTTTTGGCAAACATTTCGAATTCAGTAAAGATAGCAGAATAACAATAGCAATTAACATTGAAACACATTTGGCATTTTTTAAACATATCCGAAAGTTAGGAACGTGTGTAAACACTTAAAATAAAGATTGACAATTATTTTTTTATGTTTTTTTTTTTGTATTTTAAGAATATCTATTAAATATTGTTTTCTCTTTGTCAATTATTAAGTAAACAATTTGACAAATTTTGACATGAAATTTGTTTGTAACAACAACAATTATGGTAATCAATAAAATTAAAAAAAAAGAAACAAAAAAACCAAAAAATATATCTTGAATGCATTTCCAATAAAATTAGAAATTATCTTGTGAAATGAGAAACGGATGAGATGTCAGCAAAGCAAATGACAGTGAAGAATAGCAAACTCAGGTTTTCGATTTAATATGCGGCGGCGTGTGTGAGCGGATAAAATTTGAATTCGTAGTAAAGTATCGCGATAACGACGCGCCTGCGCAAATACATGATTTGGTTTAAAAGATACATTTTCATTTCAATTCATTTGCATCTGTCAATCCAAACAAAGAAAAGTACGAATTTTATGTGAAAAAAATTACCCGAGTGCATTCAACTGGCACTGCATGCACATGCCACCGCATGCCGCCGCCCGTTTGTAAATGTAAATTAGTGGCACGAAAAAGTTGGGTCATTTCATTTTAGATTTTCTTTAGCAAAGATTTTATATTATTTAAATTTTATTTCGAATATATTTAATATTGCTTTTTTTATTTTATTTAAAATCTACTCAAATTACATAAATATTTTTTGTTTTCTGACCCTCGTCGTCTCGCTCTGTTTATTTATATTTTTAATGTAATTTTTTAAGCTTGGAAATTAACATAATTCTGTAGATTTTTACGGTTACCATGTAACCGACAACCAACTCATTTGTATGCATTTTGCGTGTGTTAAAAATTCCTCTGCGTTCCACAAATTCCCCTTCAAGATATTTTCAATATTAGTCATATAATGACCTAAAACAAAATTAAGACTTTATGATTGTTAGGTCATTAAAAAATATAAATATTAAACACAATTTAATTTTTATCAACGTATTTACATTACTCCAAGATCTATGAACCTATTCGCGAGTAATCATTATGACCTACTAACAATATCATCTGGATAAAGTCCACATTAAAAAACGAGAGAAAAACTTATGCCATTATACCTATAGTAGCGCAACCATAATAGTTTCTTCTCATGATCTATCAAAATTTGACTGACAACCTCGATTTTTATGCGGCAGTTGATTACTGTGTATCTTAACTTAATTCTATTTAACGTCTTGAGTTGTTGACAAAATATTGTGTTATGAGATTTAAAGACTTTTCCTTCTTCTCCTTAATAAAGATCTATGGTAATCGTAATCACTATTATAGACAGTTGGAGTAACTACCAAATTCAGAGCCCTTAAAGTCTTGAATATTTTTCTTTCTCAGAACTGTTGAGTATCATTGAGTCTATAATACGCAATGCAAAATAATCAAATGTATTTTATTATCATATTTATCTTCGTATTATTTAGTAATTTTTTTTTTGTTTTCATTTCTCCTACTGACTCAAGAACAATACATATGCAACAACAGATGCAACAACTTTTTTTTTGAAATTTAATTTTTCAGTTAAATTGTAATTTAATGCTTTTTTAAAACGAGTACATGAAACGATAAATCATTGCATTCAATTCAAAATACTTGATTCCTATTTCTATAAATATTTTTCTACTAGGAGTACAGCTCATCTTACCAAAATTCGCGAGAATACGAGGATGACTAGATCTACTAGTTCTTTAAGACGGCCATAAAGAGTACAGTTTTGTACTCTTGTGGCCTCTTTTGTAAGAGAATCAATTTTTGTGTTCTGATCTCGATTTTCACAGATTATTTAAAGATAATTCTTGACCAGAAAATATTATGTGTGTGATTTTAGTACTTATTTATATATAAATATAAATATATATTTAGAATTTACATCGAATGCATAATGCGAAGTTCCAGTCTCCAAACCAAAGAGTAAAATTGTTATGATGGTTATGAAGATTTTGATCTTAGTACGTCGTAGGAGAACGCATAACAACTGCGTATTTGGTATATGGAATGCATAATAGGGCTTTATGAAAATGTGCAAGGATATTGTTATCTTAATTTTTTTATCACAAATCTAGCGAAGCAACCGAGCTGTCAAAATTTTATTTTCCATTTTTCTGATATATTCATTCTCAGCATCTAATTTTCTCTATCAATTGGTTTTACTTAACATATGTGTCTCACGATGACAATTTGTTGGTTAGGATATATATTAACTATCCTTTCTCTCGTAGATTATAAATTCACATGTTATGCCTTTTTCGAAATTGTATAATAAATAATGTAAAAAAAATAAAGTTCCCAGAAGTTGAAATAAAGAATTGATTTCATACATAAATATTTGAATTCCTAATAAAACAGTGAAGTATCTACTCTCACTTAATCACTGAATAGAGTTGTTAACTTTTCATACTAGTGAAGCTTATAATTGAATGTAAACAGTTCCTTTCTAATAAAAAAGTAGTGTTACAAATGTAAGCATTTGTCAACACACTATCGAAATAGTCTCTTTCACGTCATGGGAACTAAATCCATAAATTATCATATCAATTTAAATGCTTTAAGTACTGTACTTAACGTTGCAGTCATTAACATCTATGCGTGAAAAAGTCTACCATATGACCGCAATAAAAAAATGTGAATGTATTGTTCTTTCAAAATGCTAATAACACATACTTCATAAAACTCAATTGTACCAGTTTACGTTGATTTAACGAACTCCATGTACGCTATTCAATACGCATTCTTTTCAGTTGTACCTACAATACACATTCATGTAAGTATGGTATGTCAACAGGGAAGCCCAATTGAACTGCAATTTTTCCAAACATTGTATTTCAGTAAATTTACATTATATTTGAAATTTCTTCGGCACATGAACTCTCTCATATCTTTTTTGTACTTGCCTTAATTTGTAACCTCATACCGAAAATGGAATAGGTTTCCATTTAGTGACTGTGAAGACGGTGCAGAATTTCTTTGAAACGTCCTCACACTCTCAGCGAAATATTATCAAAGCACCATCCAAAGCTTTTTCGCGAGAGACGTTCTCAATGATTTTAACGCCACGATCCAATTTTAACAAAGAGCGATTACCGACCGTTGCGCTCACTTGCTACCTAAACCATCCCTACCGATGGGCTCTTTTCTACTTATGGTCATACATATATTTCCATTTTTGTGTTACTTTATGTCCTTTTATCTTTTCTTTATGTGATAGTTTTTGATATGTTCAGTTGTGCAAGTATTTGTCTTCTATAGCTGAGCTTCCGTAGCTTCCATAGCATTTCGCTTCACTATCCGTTTGGTCAATATATGATTTGTTTCGCGCCATGAAAGATTTAGTCACTTAAGTTGGTCGCCTTTAACAATAACTACTTGTAGTTTTCTGGCCATGTTTCATCATAAACAAACAGATTTTCAAATTTTGGCGCGTTTGTTAATAATAAAATCTGTCGTCATTAGGCAAAATATAAACGTAGAGTTGCCACCTGTTCAAAAATTTTAGAGTTTGAGTTAGCGGCAGTTCATTCAGACAGATTTGAAGTTATGATAATGTGTGCTACATTTCATTCATTGTTTATAAATGTACAATGATCAAGTGTTTGATATGTCAATTTCTCTGTTCCCCCCTCACAAAGTTGTTGAGCTTTTTCTCAATTTTCTGTATTTGTTTGTATCATCAGAATTGTTTATATAAAATTTCATAAATTTTATTATTATTTTCATTAAGTTTTTGGAATAGTTAAGCGCATTTTATTTACTGAACAACAATATTTTCGCACTTTGCTTCATATTTGTTTATTATTTAATTTCCTCCCGTTTTCTGTATTGTCTTTAACCTCAGATTTTAATTGATATTATCCGGTTAAAGTTGTAATGTCATTTTGTTAATTGAGGAAAATTGCAGACGACACTGTCGCTGGCAATAAGCTTAGCTATGCGCTACTCCCATCTTCCATGCTTACTTACCACAGTCGATGAATATAAATTAAAGTACCCAAAAAGTAGTAAAACTCTCAGCTACTTACGATCTGACAAAATCTCAAATTTTGTGCTCCACGACGTAGAACTCATTAAAATTCTATTTGCAAAATTATGGTTAGCACAACATAACCGCAACTGAAAAGGTAATGACATTCTTAACGGTTTCCTACCGCCACATACGTCGTAACGAGTCTCTAATTAGTTACTTTGTGGTTTGTATCTGGTTACACTTGTACTTGAAGTTTTTTGTTAACATGGGAAAGATAAAAATAAAGTAAAATATTTTTACACAAACATATTGATTTATAGTTCCAATTTGTATTTTGGACACTTACAAGCAAATTACAAGCAAATAGTTCATATCCATTTTACAATGTATTACTTAATGTATCTTAAGAAAAGGTTTTCCAAGATATTATGTTATGTAACAACGATATTCAAGTGAGACCAAGTAAATATATAATTATACTCAATTATTATGTAGATTAATTCAACTTTTAAACTTGTATCACAGTTAAAACGCCAAACAACAAATTAAGTAAATATGTATTTTATAGGTACATATACAATAAAACATGACTTTAACCAAATGTACCAAGCCAAAGTTTTAAATTAAAATTGCAATGGAATTTTTTTTTAAAAAAGAACTTAAAGCAAAAGTGTTAAAAAATATGTGACTTAAGATATAAACAAGTTTGCAGTGCAAAAGATAAGCGAACCTTAAGTGGCGCTAAATTACAGAGCGCCAACTTAACTCAAAGACTCAATAACCACAAAAAAAAATAAAACGAAAAACAAAGAACATCAAACGTAATTAACTGCTGCAAAAGATGCGTTTATTTGCAACTACAACAACAACCACAGAAGCATCTTCGATTGATGCCATTAACAATTATAATCATACGACTCATACTCACACTCACACTCACAACATCATACAGAACTCACACGTAATGGGCGGAGAACAATTACTTGATTTAGATACGAAATTATATAGAAATGCTGGAAGCCACAACGACTACTGCAGCAGCAGCGGCGGCAGCAGCAACAACAACACACACAGCAACAAGAATAAAAAATACAAGCAACAACAACAACAACTCAACACAACTGGCGTGTTTACTGACAGCAACAGTAGCTGCAGTGATGCCATAAAGTCAAGGTCACTCGAACGTTACATGCGACCACCACACACACTCGCCACAGTGCAAACATTAACACCAAATTTGAATACGAGGCGACGATTTCTTTCGCCCTTCAAATCCTTGAAAAGACGCAGTCGTAGCAGTAGTAGCAGCGGTGCTGGCAGTCGTTGTGAAACGCATGATTTTGCAATAGCATTTCATACAAATGAGAATAGTACTGACAACGAAGCAACGAAGGCAGCTACATCCAACATCATGCAACAGCAACAGCAACAACAACAACAACAACAACATCAACGGCAACAACACAAGCATTCAACAAGTTCACAGAGTGGTGATAGCGGCACTGGTGGCACTGAACTAGAACAAGAGTGTAGTCGAACATCGGCGGCCGAGAGCAGTCAATTAAGTTTAAGTTATTCGCAACTGAGCAGCACCGCCAGCAGCGGCAGTAACGGCAGCAACAGCCGTAACAGTAGCAGTGGTGAGGAATCTCAACAGCCAGCTGCTGACAGTGCAGACATGTTAATGCCGCGACATAGGCAATTATGCAAGCCGCGTGTCACAATTGATGTAGATGAGGATGTGGTTGATGATGTCACACAGAATGCTGATGATACTAGTTTTGCTATTTCTATTGAGGACTTGGACGAGTCCTTTACTGAGGAAAATTTCTATTGTGGTAATATTACACTGGTGGATGATACGTACTCGAATTATGATCCAAAAAATGATGCCGAGCGTATGTTTTTGCAAGTAGTCGGCATATTGCGTGATGAGAATGAGGTTTGTTTTTATTTAACGTGAAATGACTATATTATATATACATATACTATGAATATAAACATACCGTATTATATTATGTATTAATCGTTATTGAAATATATAAGCTTTTTCCAATGAACGAGTTCACTCGACATACATATATTGCAATAAAAGCATTTAATAATTGATTTATATTAAAATTAATTCATAAAGTTCTGGAACTTCAAAATGATATAGAATCTGTTATTTTTTTTTTTTTTTTTTCAAATGAAATCGTTTTTAGAAAACCTTTGAAAAATCTTAAAACTTAGATTTTCATGACCAATTGTATGGTAACAAAAACGACGTCTATGCGCTACTTGGAGAGATAAAGTAGCTGTGACGCCACTAAACCCAGCCAAACCAACCTTCTTAGTCTTCTCATTATTAATATATTCTTGTAAGGTTTAAGGCTTACCAATCTCTGTGCACTATTGGAATCTTTATGTGTATATGCATAAGAAACGTGATACTGAATATTTACTATAGTTTGAAGTGGTCTTGACCAGTAACATTGAAAAACGTAAATGTTAGTATTGTCACACAATTGTATAACACCCGTCCACGCAGATTTTAGTACGGCTTTTTTGGGGATAAACCTTTATGTTATTCTTCCATGTCAATCTAGAATTTAGAGGCATGCCGAGATACTACACTGACATGCCATGAGGAGTTTTTAAACAACACTATGAGCTAATCTCACGTTTAGGGAGTATAAATCTAGGCTTCGACCAGACTGAGCTTAGAGTATTTATTTACTAAGAGTATTTCATAAACTTCTTACCAGAGTTCGTATTTGCGTACCCATGAGCAGCTCATTTTGGCTCATTCTGCTCACGGTTCATGAGCCGGATAAAAACTCTTTTCATACGATGGCTCACGCTCACGAGCGAGCCCAACTATAGGGCTCACGCTCACGACAAGAGCCGCCATTAGGTTATAAATGGGCTCACGCTCGTGAGCAAGAGTATGAGCTGCGCCTCATAAGGTCTCATACGCCCAATTTAAGATTTTATTATTATTTTTTTTTGTGAAAATATGTCATTAAAAAAGATTTAAAATATTAATAATCTTGAACAAACTATAATATGGAAATAATCAAAGTTCTTAAAATAAACAATAAATCTATTTGTATTTATTTGTGGAAAATAATAATATTTTATAAATTTGTTTTTCAAATTCAAATTATTTTTTCATTATATTGTTTTAATATAAATAATAATAAGCTAAGTTAATTTCAAATTATATATTTTCACATACACTTAGCAGAAAAACTCTGCGTACAGAAAGTAAATTTTGTTTCAACAATAAAAAAATTATTAAATAAATAGATTTTTTAAATCAATTTTATTTTTTATTTGTACTTTAATGCGTTATCTTCATTTTAAGCTAAAACTTATTTCTAACAGATTAGTAGAAAAACTATAATAATTAAAAATGTAAAAAATCAGCGCTATCGGTGGCAGAAAAAGTCTGCGTACAAAACATATAAAGGGGAATTCCCGAAGTTTTAAAAGTAGAACTTTGGCGTCCCTTATATTTTATTGAACCGGTATGTCATTATACACAATCCCAAGCACTTATTTTATAATTAAATGATTAAAAAGTAATTAAATTTATAATGACAAATAAAGGGAAAAAATTATTATTAGTAAGAGCAGTATTATTATTGATCTATGGAAAAAAAGGAAAATGTATCGTGAAATTGGTCAAATCGTTAAGCGATCACATTCTTCTATCTAAAGAGTAGTAAACAACTACAGCTAAACAATATTATTGACCTCGAGGTTGCGATTTAGGCGTCCATCCAAGCTGTCAAGAAGAGAAACCCACAGCATTATTAATTCAGTGAAAGATAAACCTCGTCTAACTGGACTTCTGTTATATAAATATATTGACCAGACATTCCAGAAGTAAATTCACGTGGATACTGTACACAAAATATTAAAAAAATACCACTACCATGGCTGGTTTGCACGAAGCAAGCCGCTTATCTCCAAAACTATTAGAATGAAGCGTTTAGCATTCGCAAGGGAGTATTTAAAAAAGTCTCCAGAATTTTGGAAACCCATAATTTTTTCAGACGAAAGCATATTTTGTCTCTTTAGCATTAAAGATCGAACGATTATATGGCGAAACCCGGGTACTGCCTTTAATAATAAAGATTTGCATCCAACAATAAAACACGGTAGTGGAGGAGTAATAGTGCGGGGGTGTATGGCGAGTAATGGAGTGGGAAAAATGAAATTTATTGAGTCGATAACGAATAAAGTTGATTATTTAAATGTTTTAAAACGCAGTTTAAAGAGCAGTGCCGAGAAGTTGGGGTTACAGAATAATTACTTACTTTAACAAGTTATCGACCCAAAGCACACTGCAGAAGTTGTAAAGCTTTGGTTGCTTTAAAATGTCCCCAAGCAAATCAAAACGTCACCATAATCGCCATATTTGAATTCTATAGAAAATTTGTAGGATTTACTGTAGCGTTGGGTACGTGAATACAATATAACCTCCAAAGAAATGCTGAAGAACATGAGAGACGCGGAATGGGGCAAAATAAGCAACGATGAGACTGCGAAACTGGTCAATTCGATACCAAAACGACTTATGGAGGTCATAAAAAGGAAAGGTTATCCAACAAGTTACTAAAAACGTAAAATCTTTAAAAAAATAATATATTTCGACGCTTTTTAAACTCTTGTACGCAGACTTTTTCTGCCACCGATAGCGCTGATTTTTAATATTTTTAATTATTATAATTTTTCTACTAATCTGTTAGAAATAAGTTTTAGCTTAAAATGAAGATATCGAAATAAAGTACAAATAAAAAATAAAACTGATTTAAAAAATCTATTTATTTAATAATTTTTTTATTGTTGAAACAAAATTTACTTTCTGTACGCAGAGTTTTTCTGCTAAGTGTATAACATTTATAAAACTACATAAAGCAAATAAACTAATAAATTGCTTTTTATTAAACAGTTGAGCTCGTGAGCTCTCGGCTCATGAGACCTCATGAGTAGCTCTTCAATATGAGCAACTTGAAAGCTCACGCTGGTTAGCAGCTCTTAAATATGAGCCAATTTTGGGCTCACATAAAAATTGGCTCTTGCTCGTGAGCCTGAGCTGCTCATGAGTGAGCAAATACGAACCCTGCTTCTTACTATAATAGTTGTTTCGTCAGCATATTTTGCCTCACTATCGGCATTTGTTTGCAAGACATCTGCATTTACTACAGAAGTGTGTAACTGCATACAACAATGTCATTTGTTGGTCCATTTATACACAACTCTGTACTCATATACTCATCACGAATTAATAACGGCATATGTAGTAGCAGCGGTTAATAAATAATAAATAATATTTACTGTTAAAAAATGAATAAAATAAAATTTATCGATTTTCCTTAAGATTTTTAATACAGATTTATAGTCATTAACAACTATGTTTATATGTAAAATTCATTGATTTTAAAAACAAATTAATTGCTTTCAATTTAATTAATATAAAATGGATCATCAAAAATTTTTACTATCCAAAATGTATACGCAGTGCTTGAGGGTATTATATAATTCAATATTTTTCAGATTCAAAATTTATTAATCTTATTTAATTAATATTAAGTTTTTATCTTTTAATTCTCGATAATACTGATTTATATTGTTATTTTGATAAGCAACAAAATTTGTTGGCAATGAGAAGAGGATTAAATTATTATTTTTTCCTCAATCGCATAAATTTGAAAATAAATAATTTATAATTCCATAAATAATGAACGTATTTCGACAATTGCAAATAATATCAGAACGCAATTACCTCAACGTTGCGGTTTTGTTATACAAAATTTGAAAAGATTTTTTCAGTTTTCTCTCTGAATTTTAATTTAATTATGAAAAATGTTTGCGAGTACGAGAAGGCTTATATGCGTTTCCTAACTAAAAGTGGGTATGATATACCTAAAATTGTCTCCCATTCCCATGGAGCTGTAACTAGTTTCGTGGTTGCGTTCCACTTCCACGCAATTTTGACGTCTATTAAGTTGTTCGTTTTGTTTGCGAAGATTGAATAATTGACGTTCAACGTCCCCAAAAAAGCTACGATATGAATTCAGAAGTTGAAAAAAAAAATAAATAAAAAATGCTGAAACCATACGATTTTCACGGAAAAGAAATTTGCAAAATTTTTAAATTGAAGAAATTAAAAAATTTTAAATTGATTTAATTTGTTCTCTTGCTTTTTGTAGAAGAGAGTAGTTTTTTTTTTGCACTCATCGGTTTTGTAATGAAAATAATTAAGTGCACCATTGTGTGTCAAATTGAGATGAAATTGCTTCGAAGTGCGTGTAACGGCGTTGTTGCTGGCGCAGTCGAAGTTATGCACTTGTATCTGCGCCGCGACAGAAGTTGAAGTGCAACTGCTTCTCTGTGGATTTACATGCATTGCCTGACAAAATCGTTACCTCTTTCGTTGCACATCTGTTCGCATATAATTAAATTGCTCATTATGTGCTGTAGTTGTCGCAAGAGTTGTTGTTGCTCGCATTTTGTAATAAATTATTTTTAATCACATAATTAAATAACAAAAGCACAATGTTTTCACAGCAAAATCAACAAATTAAACTGAAACTGAAATCGTTTAAAACTTACTTAACTCACTCACCCGTTGGTTTGTTTGTTTTTATTGTAGAAAATGCATCCACGCATCCATAAACTTTTCATCCGCATCCACACAAATGCAAATTTATTGGAGAAGTTTTTTCCTATTTCCTACGTGCTCTGCGCTACTGTAATTAATTTTAAATCGCTCTCAACTTCGTTTCGCACCAATTGATAATAAACAATTTTAAATATTTAATACAATATCCTTTGTACTTTCATGTGTAATCATTGTCATCAAAAAAAAAACAAAAACGAGTCCTTCATTTCAAACACAACATTAAGTGTGAAATTTATTTCCACTCCATACAGTTGAAGGATACGAAG